CTAGAGGAATATTCTATGCACTGCCAAGATTTAAATCATCATTTTGATTTTCATAAAAGTTAGAAGAGTTCTGCTGCATACCGACAGAGGGACTCAAAGATCCTCAAGCTAACATATAAATTACTTATGAAGTGTGCAAGAGCAGTTGTCTCTTGCGGTATCTTCTGCAAGACAAGGATGCCGAACTTTCTCGTCTTTATACCAGATTGATCGTCCTTTAACTGGTTTGTTCAAAAAGTAATCCAGCTTCTCAACGGTGACCTTCGACATCACAATTGTATGTGCCATATTTACTGTCACAAGCAAGCTGCAACTCCTCATCATGTGGTCTCGCAAACGACTGTACTGCTCAGTTGATTTAGCATGACGCCAATTCCTGCTTCCCAACAATTCAAATTGTAAACATTGATAAGGCACTTTTGGACTTCCTTTTGGAATCCCTTGTACCCTTTTTTTATCTGCACACTACATGGCATTGGACATCCCACAAACTTATGGCCAGATACACTCACACTTCCGATGGGCTTCTTGAAACTAACCGTCGGTGTCTGCATAGAACAAAGACTGCTTAAGGAAAGAAAGTGGGAAAGCAGAATTCTAACTAATTTTTGTAAAACCGTATACTCACTAGATGAAGATGAAGATGATTTTTAAGGGTAGATGAGGTTGAAAGGTAAAGGCAGCAAACAGATAACAGTAGCGATAATGGAGCAAGCCATTGAATAGTGCAGAAGAAGATATACGAACAGAAATACTCAAAATAAGTTGATGAAAGCAATCCCTCGTATATAAAAAAATAGTAACCTATCCCACATCGAAAGTTAAGCTAGGAAATAACCTGTATAAATAGTAGAATTGGGATGCAATTGTTCACGACCTTACTTGAACAGGATCTGTTCTATAGGCTCGTACCTCTGTATCCAACTCAAGATTCCTCTGTCCTTTGGTTCAGACCACCTACTGTTTACGGGCGGACTGGTCTCGCACTAATTGTCGAGATACCGAGGGTAATCCCCAGTAGCCCGTCATCTCCTAGCAAGTTGGCCGAGTTTACTCGGCTAGGATGGTCAGGCGGTTGTCTGACAGACTGGACGGATCTTTTTGCACTCCTCTCTTTCATACAATTGGCTGAGATGGTGTTTTTGGTTGCTATGTAATTTGTAGTTGTGAATGGGATCTGAGTTGTAAATTGTTGCAGGAGGGTGGAGGTTGTTCTGTGGCGGAGAAAAGATGAAGAGGTGGTGGTTGCGAGAATGCGAGGTCAGAGGGGAGTTGGCAACTGCAGTTTTTGGACATTTTGGTTTTGAACATGAAGCCATGGCGATGCTTTGAATAAAGAGCACTTTCCATAAAACATGGCATTACGAGATGAGAGATCAGTGATGTCTGATTATTATTAAAAAATTATTAATTTAAACTCCAAATTTTTAAAGAAAAATTTGTCGTCTAGTGGTGGACATATACATGTAAATTGACATAGCTCGCCCGGCTTGGCAATCATTAAAACAATTTTTTTGTTAAATTTATTTTCAATCACACATTCACACAATAAAATATTTTACACGTAAATTCAAAAAAATTTCCTATATTTTAATTACATATTCTTCAAAAAATTATTATTTTAAAATTCATTTTTTTCCCGAAAATATTTATTATAATGGTTGTCAAAGAGGGGCTCCAACTTCACTCCAAATCGCCCTTTTTTTTAAAATACTTTTCTAATATTTCCAACCAACCAGAAAAATAAATATAAATAAAACCTAAAAAAAAATCATTCCAATAGAAAGATAATCTCACGATAGACAACATTCCTTTTAAAGAAATATTTTAAATACCAACCTTCTTATTAGAGCGTGACGTAAAGAAAACAAGTAGAGGTTTTAATGGATATTGAATTATATTGGCATGGCCCCAATTTAAACAAGATGGATCAATTTCAGCCGTTGATAGACTTCACCCCAAATGAGAAATTAGAAGAAAAAAATGGATCCAATTTAAAATAAAAAACTATCAGGGTTATGCTACATGTACCTAATCTTTTACACCACACTCACATTAGGAGGTGGGGACCATAATATTTGCTCCAATTAAATACACATGGGGCCCGCGCGCATTGTGAGAGGGGGGACACCATTCGGTACCGCCATTATGTACATTTAGATTAATTCAAACTATCGTTGCAGATCCATCATAAGAGAGAAGTCCTCGAAGCAGACGAACCCGTCCCCATTTTTATCAACACCTTTTATCATGCGCCGGCAGTCCTCTAATGTGCACCATTCTTCACCAGTCGTTTTGAAAACATTAAAAAGCTCATCCGCCGTTATCTTTCCATCATGATCTGAGTCGAAGAAGTTGAACGTTTCCTTCATCTCTGCGTCTAGGGGTTGGCATGAGTTGGGTTGGGTCGGTTTTTGCCCCAACCCAAATCAAACCCAACATGATCGGTTTGATCAAAATTTAACACAACCCAGCCTATGTAAAAGTTGAAACCCAACCCAATCAAGTATCGATCGGGTTGGGTTGAGTTGGTTGGTTTGGGACGATTTGTCAACAAAAATTAAAGTCATCCAATTTTTTATTATACTAAATTCGTATAGACAAGATTAAATAGTAAGTAAACAAACAAATAAATAAAATTATCTATTAT